CCAGGTGACAACACATCCATATTCTGTGAGTACTATTCCTGTGTGTTTTCATTCATCTTTAAAAGGTTTTAAATTAGCACATTAATATGCAGATTTTGATAAGTTTTGCAGATTTAATGCTAATTGCCAATATGAAATATTTGTTATTTCATACCCGTTTCACACATACCTCCTACAATTGCGGAGCTCAACCAGACTGCATATTTTGACAGGGAGACATTCTTATTGAGTGTATTGATTTCCACCCAGTGAGACAAGTTTTTGATGTGAATACAAGAAACTTTATGATGATGTAAGTACCAAGTGAAGGAATGCAATTTATATTAAACATTTGGATCCAATATTTTAAGGATTTTAAAACTTTTTATTTTTTTTTTCATTTACATACATTTGAACAGATCTTAACATTCTTACTTTTTATCTTTTTTTCTTATTGTAATTCACAGATTTTTGAAAATTTACAAGGGTTTATCTTCCTCAGATTTTGTGTGCGTTTCTGTACATCTGCATATATAGACTACTTTTCAACAGCACACTATAGCCAGCCAATCTTTTATGTTTACAGTGATAAGAAAGATTTTGTTAACATCTTACACAGTTATCATCTCTGGCGTATCACATTTAAATAATATGTGATGTCCACACTTTGTTCAAGCTTCATGCCCTATGGAACAATGAGGGTATTATTGACTGACGTAAATGATGTTGCAGTGCTATCTTAGTTAATGGCAAAAGGTGTTTGAACTGAAGGGCAGTGATGAATTAAACTTGGCAATTCTATAACTGATAGAAACTTATACATTTATTATCATGTTGACATGATTAGATGTTTTAGCATTATTTGATTCCATTAGAGAACCATTGGTTTTAATACATTCAACCAATATTCAATCATGTCCATATAGTGCCAAAGTAATTTTCCCACTCATGGTCCAATCTAAATGATGAGTCACATGACCATGTTATGTAGTGAGTGAAATGGCTCATAACAGTGTTAGTTGTAACTTTTTATGTAAGCTCCAAAGAACAGATCGTGAAAGATTACATATTCAGGAACGAAAAATCCTTTGCTCATAATAGAAGTGAAAACCTGAGAAAGTAATGCTTGCTAACTACTGCGTGATAGAGATGAGTCTATTGTAAGAGAGTGAAAATTTGAGAGCAACTCTTACGTCTTGTGAAATAAATCACAAACTATCCTAAATTTTCTATCACAAATCAAAGAGTAAAGAATATTCCAAATAAATTCCAATAGTCTTTGATGTGCTGAAGTACCAATATTTGTGATGTACTACAATGATATAATACAGAATGACTTTTAATGAATCTTCAATTGTCCTAAAGTAGTGTTTTAGTCCAAAATATCAATGAGCACTTTGTAATTTCAATGAACAATTTTAATAAATGATTCTTCTCAAATTGTGTCTGAACACAATCAAATGTGACTGCACATACCTATATTAAAACAGAAATAAAGACTGCTTACAGCCTCTATGTTATAGACAGATTGTCACCTGCTTATGAGACAACATAATGCTCTCGATATGGGTCGTGCAAATTACATCAACTTCATAAACAATATCGCTTCCAGAATATGTCAAGTTCGAAACAAGGTCAGGTCTTTAACTTGAATTCAAGTAAAGATCTTTTTTTTTAATAAATGGCAAAGCTAATTAGGTCAAAACTCTACCATCTATCACATACTAAGTCAAACATACGATTTAAATTAAATTTATATATTACCTAACTTATGATCAAACATGGAATGAACATTTCTTACGTAATTATCTATCAAAGTTGTTGTCTATAGTGGCTTTCCTTGTAACAGTATAAGTTCCATAGCATTCAGAAGGAAGACTTCAGATAAATATCTCCCATCGAGGAAGTACATAACGATTCAAAATTGTTTTACTATATCAAATCAGATTGAACTATTTTATAAGTTTTAACTGCTCACCTTTCTTAAACAGCATGACAAATGCCACCAATTTATATAAAATAACTGCAACATATTCTGACAGGATTTTGCCTCTTATATCGGTGTATACGGCTGAGCAGTATCATGCCAGCTTTCGCCATGTTTGCCTTTTCTGATAATTAAACAAGTCAGAGAAATGCAAAGACACTAGTGTTGTCCAAGTCTTACGTTTGGGGTTTACATTAAAATTATTTTTTTTACTTTTAGAAATATTTCTTACTAAGATAGGAATGAGCAACAGTGACGTAGTTAAGGGTTGTTTTGTGTATTTAATTTAATTGTCTGTTATTTTTAATTTTTTTATTTATTGTAATGTAATATTGTTTCCCGGACTTGACCTTGTCCAAAACTATTCTGCTTGACCTTATTGACTTTGTATTTTTTTTTAATTTCATTTATGTAAACAACTAAAAATAGCTTCATTATTCTCTATGTATATGAGCTAATTAACCGAATTAATATTCAGGTAAACATATTAATATGTGTCAGGATTTTGGAGATTCCAAAGGGAATTTTATAAGCTATCGTGTTATAAATAAATAATGCTCATTAGATCATTTTAGAAGGTTATTTTCCATTAGATAATGGTTGCTTTTAAAAACATGCTAATTTGCGTCAAGCAGAGAACTATATTATTTTGTCACTAAAGATTTCACCAGTCGCGCTTTAACATCTAGCCCTTTAAGTTGTATTATGTTGGGACCAGTTTGGGCTGAATTTTATCTTCAAATTATTGAATTCAATTGCTTATTTTCTCTTGAAAACAAAGTGCTTCGATACAATTCTTGAATAAAGACATTCATTGGAATTTATACTGAATTCAAACTTCGAAAAATATTTATGTGATTCATCAAGAGATTGTTGACACATCAGCACTTCACATACCATAACTGACACGTCGTCACCCTTAATTTTTTAAAAAATCTTTTTGTGACTTTAACTGAATTTTATCCAGTACTCTTTATTATTGGATACTACTATTTATTTTTGTATACTACTATTAGAATATAGTTATATAACTGCCATATTGAAGTCACGTGTGTATTACACAAATTAAATATGGTTGATAGTTGCCCAATTGCTTCTTTGTTCACATTGTTTTGTGGAAATGCCCACAATATTATCATGGTTACTTGAATGAATGTCAGCATTTAGTACAAATTTTAAAAATAGTAATTAGAAACAAACGAAAGTCGTCTACGGTATTATTTCGAAGGGTTTCTCTACAAGCGGAAAGTTCTTGCATGTTGAGACTATTCATAATATTGCGAGTGTTTGCGGTATTTTAAGTACATGTGCATTGACATTCATAACATTCGCAACTTTATTGCGGATATTCGCAAGTTCACAACGCTAGTGTGCTTCCACATTTCCTTGACTGAACATGTAGAAAAATAATTGTAAGGGTACATTGATTTTTTTTTATTGAGACTATTTTAAAGCAATAATTAATAATATCGTAGTAGTAACACATACGCACAAAATAAGTAACACGTTATTGTGTATAATAACAAGTACCATGGGATAATAATTAAGTGTAGTACATCACGTGATATATTATAGCATTTCGCTCGGCTAACTACATGGATTTATTGCAGCTATATTTCAGGATGCTATATATTGCTATCGTCATTACACGTGTTCCAGTGGGCTTTATAATAGCATCGTGGCGATGTTATACTACGTCATATCAAATCAAGTTTAACACGAAATTTTTCATTGCTTTCTCCCTCACGAAATATTCTCATACAACGTTTTCGATATGGTATAGTGCCATCGTCTTAATCTCATGCTCTCCACACACCAATCAAGGTTTTAAAAGGACAACTCTATCAGGAAAAATCTATAATATGGCAGAAAAAAACTTTCGTACAAATATCTGTAGTATTTTGATGTAAAAACTTTAGAACAAAGTAGTTATAATAAATATTAAATTGCCCTGCACAGGAAGGGTGTCTGTTTAATAGTTCTCTGTGCACTTACCCGTCTTTTTTGTTGTTTATTTCAATATAGGATGGTTGGGGTTGGTAGCGGATTAGTAGTTCGGTTTCCTTGTTTAAAAATTCTGTTTTGTTAGTTGATTATCTGGTATGGATTTCACCAAGAGAACCCAAGTCTGAAATAGAACTTATGCAGTTCATTAATCACGTCATTGAAATCTGATTTGCTTATACTGGCGTTAAGTCTAGACTGAACATTAAAATATATGTTAGGGAAATGTTGGGTCTAACAAGCAGTATGAACAATATATAGTATTGGTAAGTACATACTTAATGCCTGGGTATTTATCTAAATTTTTCTTCTTTAGGTCTAATGGGGTATTATAACAAGTTCGGCTTTTGTGACTCCTGACTATCTGAAGCATCTATCTGGTTGAATAGTGATTTATAACTAATATTTCTTTAGGAATGCGACAGAAAGCATTACATTTAGCTTCTTTTTTGTCATTACAGTTTTGTTATAAGCCGTGAATGAGTTCATTTCAGATATTAGAATTCGTTTTACTTTTTGAAAACACCCGTTTTATTTGTATGATCACTCGCTAGAGCATAACAATATTTCTTTGTGTCTTTTAAGTTGTCAATACATTTTCAAATGATGAAAGTTAAATCAACACACTACTCGTTTAATTTGTCAAAGCTATTTTCATGACAAATGTTAAATTAACAGTAGCAACAAATATCAAGTGAATATAGCTAAATATAGTCATAGAACACTCCAAATAGCTTGCCTTTACTACGATTATATCATTATACAGTTACATGCAATTACAGAAAGAAGAGTGTGCAAGTGTGTGTGATTGTGATTTTTAAAGTAGCTTTAGCAATATTTCAGACATATCGCTACGACGTCTGAAGTGTGGCAGTTTATAGCACTGGGGCATCATACCGCAGACATGTAGCATAATGTACAACGCAAGTCACATTATTCTGACACCAAGTCGACCACTACTAACACTCACCTATTAATGTTGAGCGCCAAGTGTGGCAGCTGCTAGTACCATTTTTGTAAGTCTTTGGTATGACTCAACCGGAGATCGAAGCCACAACCTCCCGCATCCGAGTCGGACACTCTAACCACTAGGCCACCGGTGCGGTCCAGAAAGAAGAAAAACAAACTGTTGGAAAAAAAGACGAGAGAGAGAAACAAATGTAAATGCAATTTGAGAGAGAGAGAGAGAGAGAGAGAGAGAGAGAGAGAGAGAGAGAGAGAGAGAGAGAGAGAGAGAGAGAGAGAGAGAGAGAGAGAGAAAAAGAGAAGGAATAAATGAATATCAATTTATATTAAGAAAATTAGAGCTGGCAAAAAAGAACACTCCCCACATTTGATGTTTTAAGAAATATCAAGTTAGTACCTACTTTACTGGAAAAAGAAGTAGATCAATAGTTTGTTAGTTTTGAGAAAATTGCTAAAATTGTGAGGTGGCAAAGAAAGTACGGGTTTAAAATGTGTGCTTACTGGCAAAAAGCGTAATTTGTACATTTCACTGTCACTAAAGGAGAGTGCTGACTATGATGTGGTCAAGGATTGTATCTTAAAGGGTTATGAGTTAGTATCCTATGCTTATTGACAAGGTTTTATAAATTCTGGAAAATTAACTGATCAGACTTATATCGAATTTGCATGGGAAAAGTACGACAATTTATTAGGCGGTGCTCTTCTATAAAGGTTGATACATATTACGAAAATCTCAGACAACTCGTATTACTTGAAGAGTTCAAGAATTGTGCCCATAGTGTGATTAAGACTTGTCTTGATGAGCATAAGGTAGAAAACTTGGAAAATGCTGCTCGTACTGTCCACGAGTATTCCTTAGCTCACAAAGTTTCTCTTGTAAATCTTCCTCTCAGGAGTCTTATGGTGAACAAAAAGGTATTTCAACCTAATACGAGCCAATATAAATTTTAATCTGGCACAACCTTTAGAAATCAAGTTCCTGATGAGATTGATCAGAAATCCGTATCTCTTCCTACTTGTACCTATTTAATAAGAACGGTCACTTTATTTCTGATTGCTACAAATTGAAAAATAAACATTAGAATCAAGATAGACATATTCCAAGTGCTCTTGCTTCTAAGAGGTCAAGGTAGAGGTCATATATTGATAATAATAAATGTGTTGGGTCTAATAAACCCTCGTCTGATTTTATTACGGAGAATTATAAACCATTCATGTCAGAGGGTTTTATATCACTCATGTGAGATTCAGTTTGTCCTATCCCTAGTAAAAGTTTAAGAAACACAGGATCTTCTCGGTTTTTAAATATCAGGTACTTTGCCTTTATCTGAGAAGTTTTCTTATAACGAGCGTGTTGTTATTCAACTAGAAATGTGCGGCTTTGTTAATGTTCCTTTCCATTGTGTACATTTGTAATCAGCCTTAGTGTCATGACACTTGACAGCTGGAATAGTGTAATTTTTACCCATTGAGAACATTCATTAATTACCTGGCAATGCCCTAGCTGGAGACAAAGTTATGGTTAATCCACTTGTAGAGATATTTCAAAGAAAGGTCTCGACAATGATGCTGAGCAGGAAAATATTCCCTTAGCTGAAACATCTATTTGTCAGGCTTTTGATGAGGTCACTTTCACTCCTTGTTTGGATCAATCAAAAGGTATAAGTCACCGTGATCCTCTTTCAACTACTCATTCTCTATTTTTCTAAATAAGGTGACAAAGGACAATCACTTGTCGTCGAATACGATAAAGATCCTGCGTTCTCTTATTGGTTTCAAAGAACCATTAGTAAAACTAAAGCCAAAAAAGTAAATGTTTGTTATTGTTTGGGATTATAATGAGAAAATGGAGACCTCCATAAGTTCCTGCTGGGGACGAGCTGTCAGTGAATTATCAAATTATCAAAACCGTACAGACAGGAAATACTTAGTCTGACACATGAAACCTCTTTTGGCTAGCAAAATAGGGATTAATAAGACATCACTTTTTTTTGCTAAAAATTATAAGTGATGTTTGTAAATACTGCAGACCTTGTCATACTTGTCAAATGGTAGGAAAACCCAATCAGAAGATACCTAAGGCTCATCTGCATCATATTACTGCATTTGACAAACAATTTAGCAGAATAATGTTAGATTATGTCGGTCTCTTTGTAAGAACAAGTCAAGTAATCAATACTTGTTGAGCATCAACAAGATTCCCAGAGGCAATTTCTTTGAGTTATCTTAAAACTGAAACAACAGTAAAATCTTTGATAAAGATTATTTTTTATTACTTAGGTTGGCCTTCCAAAATCTGTCCAGTCTGATCAAGGGTCAAATCTTAAATCTGGAATTTTCCATCTAATCATGATTAAATTTGGCAGCTAGCAATTCAAGTTAAAAATCAAATTATGGTTTGACAGAATTGAAATGGAGAATTTTTTAGTGCTGATAGAGTTTTGTCTCTCTTGATAATTCCTAAAAATGTTCTTCATTTTAGGTATTACAGACCTTACAAAGTTGAGAATAAAATAAATGAGTTAAATTGTGATAATATTACTCCTGGGATTACATAATTTAAAGGAGTACCATTATGTTAAGAGGGATACCCAGGTTAATCATGCAATTAATTTAGTTGTACCTGTCCCACTCAGTAAGGACTTCAGCGAAGAAATTCAATCGGACAGTATTGATATTGAAGTAAAAATTCTTCGGAATTCAGAATTTATGAATAATCTGGACCAGAAATATTCAAATTTGCGCCAACAGGAACGGATTCAAATAAAACAGCTATTACTTGAGTATGAGCACTTTTTTCCAGATGTTCCTCCAAGAACAAAGTTTACCATAACGTTGAAATTGTAAAACCCACACCTGTGAAAGTACACTCGTACAGAATTAACCATTTCAAACAGAAATAATAGTAAAAAGAAATTCACTATTTGCTGTAGAATGACTTCATACAGCGGAGTAAAAGTGACTGGAGTTCACCATGTATATTTAGTCCGAAACTATTTCTAGAACCAAGAATTTATGACTGCATCGGTAAAGGTGTACATCTAACGTATGTCATCAAATTTGACATTCTGAAAGGATTATGGCAAATTCCACTGCCGGAATGTGAAAATGTTATTTTGGCATTCGTGAATCCATATGGACTTTATCAATATAAAGTGATGACGCTTGGGATGAAGGGTTCGCTAAATACTTTTCAACGTTTAATGAACATGAGATCATGTGGTCTTCATAATGTGGATGCTTACTTCGTTGATGTCATCATCTACAACGATACCTGGAAAGAAAATTTACTGACAATTAGGAAATTCTTTGACAGACTCACTAATGCAAGTTTGGCAATCAATGTATCTAAAAGTGAGTTTTTCCGTGCTTGTGTAATATTTATTGTACATACGGTGGGACATGGACAAGTTAAATCCTACAGATGGTAAGGTCAAGGCTATCTTTGAATTCCCCCTGCCTATCAGTAAAAAGCAACTGATGCTAATTTTGGGTATGGCTGGATATTACCGGAAATTTTGTTACAATGTTTCAATAATTGCTGAACAGCTGATAAATTTATTAACCAAGAAATCCATGTTTCTCTGGCCTGAAAAATGTCAGGAGGCCTTCCAAAAGTTAAAAGCCACACTTAGGAGTGAAGCAGTTCTTACAGCTCCAAATTTCAGTCATTTAAGCTGTCTGATGATTTTGTGGTTAGTGTCGATCATTCAATGTGTTATTTTTCTAAGAAATTAAATAAGCACCAGAGAAATTATTCCATAATCGAGATTGAATTTTCGACATTGATATATTGGTTTTACAAGACTTTGTCGTTTACCTTATTTCAGCTCCTTCTCCAATTATTGCGCTAAGTGATCACAAACCCCTTACTTTCATCGGCTACATGAAGGAATATAGATTATTAAAATGGAATTTTCTTGTTATAGGAATATAATATTGACATCAGGCACATCAACGGAAATTAAATATCAAATGTACTTTATCGAGTAACTAAATGTATTACTTCATGTATAATTTGTGTCATCCATTATATTTCATTTTATGATTTTTACCATATGCATATTTGACCTACAGTATAAAGAAAGCTTTATTGTATTAATCTTTATTATTGTTTATGTAGATAATTGTTATACATATTCAATTTAATTGTTTGTGTGTTAGTTTTACTTTCTTTATTTCATTGCATTTCATTGTGATGTAATATTTTTTTCTGGACTTGACTTTGTTGAAAACTGAATTCATTTCTGCTTGACCTTGTATTAATTTTTTTGTTTCATTTGTGTAAACAACTTATAATAGCTTCATTATTCTTTATGTAAATGAGCCAATTAACCTATTTATTATTCAGGCAAACACTTTGATTTGGGTCATGGTTTTGGAGATTCCAAAGTGAGTTGTATAGACCATTGTGTTGGAAGTAAACGATGCTCATTAGATCATTATAGAAGGTTATTTTTCAGTAGGTAATGGATGTTTTTAGGTAATGCTAATTTGTGACCTGGGGTCAAGCATATAGCTATATTATCATGTCACTGTGGGGATTTTAGCAGTCGTGGTTTAACATCTCGCCCCTTAAGTTGTGTTATGTTGTGACCAGTTTGGGTTGAATTTTAATTCCTTCAAATGATTGAATTCAAGTAATTTTTTTTGTCTCTGGAAATACAAAAGTGCTTTGATAAAAATTTTTGGATGAAGAAATTCGCTGTAGTTTATACCGAATTCAAAGTTGGAATAATATTTGTGTTATTTAATAAGAGACTCTTGACACATCAGCACTTTGCAGAACATAACAGACACATCGTCTTTTATGTTGGATCTCTTTGGGACTTGATCCGAGTTTTATTATTACTAGAATTGTGTCTTTGATTCTTAGATCATTTTTGGATTTGATTCGCAATATCGTAAGTTCTTTATTCTCTTTATTCACTTTGTATTCTAGGAAAAATAAATTATTTGTTAAATTTTATAACATTTGATGTGTTCATTCTTTTCTGTTACTTATTTTAAGAGCATAGACTAGTAACAGGCTAATTAAGAAATACTCCTGAAGTTGTATAGTTTATGTCATAATGAGAAACAAAAACCAAATTCACACAAGCATTCCAACTGCAAAGGCAAAGTTAACTCGTGGTACACAG